TGAAATAAATTATATATTTCATTCTCTATTTAGATTTACTTTTATTGAATTTCAGTATTCCTTACTTTATATTTCGTTAATTTGAATTAATTTGAATTTTATTAGGTAATTTTGAGTTTTATAGAACTTATATCAATTAATAAATAAATACTGGAACTCATTGCACAAAGGCCGAGAAAGTAGTATTGAACTTGATCTTAGCCAAAAGACCAAAAAAGGTTAGCCAAGAGGCCGACCCAAAAAAATTTAGTACTACACTTGATCTTAGCCAAAAGGCCGAGAATGTGTGATTATTATTTCTTTAGCTCTATAGTTTTATAAGAGGCTTTTATATAATCATTTTTATTTAAAACCAGTGTGGGACTTTGTAATTTGAATTAAACTCTTTTTATATTTTGTTAATTTGAATTAATTTTAATTTTATATTAGGTAATTTTGAGTTTTATAGAATTTATATCAATTAATAAATAAATACTGAAATGCTGAAATACTGAAACATTGAAACACTTTGCACATTTAATAATAGTATAAATATATATTTTCAGATCTGTAAATTTTGTTGAAAAAACTCAAAATTTCTATGATCCGTCTCTCTGTTTCTCTCAATATTTTCATTACCCAACTTGTTCTTCAATCTGTAGTTTGCTCACACTTGTTAGTCATTATGTGTTTCATATTTAGATTTTTTTTTTATTTTGGTGCCTCTTGAAATTGCAGTGTTTGTGCATTCTGATATTCTCTTAACTCAAAATCATGGTTGATATATTTGTTTCTCTTGAGGCTCGGCCGAGTCTCTATGTATCGAACGAGTCACAACAGACTTGGATGAGTCTAGTATTCGCCGGTGGGAATAAAAATCACATCAGACTTAGCCGAGTCAACATACCTGATGGTGTGCAAGGTTTAATTTTTTTTAGCAAGAAAGAATAATTCATTGATTCCAAATAAAACACATTACATAAGGTGTGCAAGGTTTAGAAAATTTCACAATTTGGTTTTTGATATCATTATGTAGTGCTGTTTACACACAGCGTTTGTATTTGTTCTTACTTACCAAAAATAGTTAATCAAACACTTGCATTTGGTTGATATCTGGCATGCATAAACAAACAAAATTGAGGTATTTAATCCAATAGTTGGATAAGATAAATTGTATAAAAAGATTTTAGAGGATGTAAGAATATTTATTTTTGCACCATGTTTTAGTTGATCCATTTGTACACATGTATATGTATGTATCTATTGCACTAATAAGAATGTAAGTGTTACTAGCCGAATGGGTTCCGATGAAGAATTCCTCATATTAATCTTATATTTCTTTTTTAATTGATTGTTTAGCAGTGAAAGAATGCAAATTTTTGGTGGAAGTTAGGAAAATATTGAGATTGATTTGGATAAAGATTTAAAAATGATTTAAATAAGAAGTTCAGATATATATATATATGTTACCGGATTAAAGATTTATTAATTTGGCTAATGTGTTGGGAATCTTGTAATTGTATAAGACATTTCAGGCTGTTTCATAGGTTCCTTTGTTGATCGTTTGTGTTGAAAAGACGAAAAGTTTCGGAGGAAGTTAGGAAAATGTTGTGATTGATCAGACAAAAGGTTAAAATGATTCTACAACTTGACTTGAAATGTGCCTAACATTAATATAATTGATGCAAATATGAATGGCGGGAATGGTAGTTGAAAAACTATAGTTGTTGTGTTAAAAAATAGTATTTTGCGAAATGCACCATTGGAGCAAAGTTGCTAAAATATAGTATTTTGACACTGTAGCTCCTCTAAAAATATAGATTTGGCAGCTCGAAATGGCATTTTGCACTGGAGTTGCTCTTAGTCCGAAATCCAAATTCAAATTTTATCTGTGCAAAGCACGTGATCGTCTTATAATTTGGAAACAACATAAATATTGAGTTGCTAGTCCAAAATCCAAATTCAAGGTTCAAAGCAACGTTGATGATGAGGATTTAGAAAGTAAGTCTTTGATTTTTGACTATCGAATCGCATTCTCAACTTGAATGGTATTTGTGGAACCGATACACGTATTCTAAATAAATAAATAAAAAGACAGACGGACCGACAAACTTAAATGACAAAGGAATGACTTGGATAATTTTGAATTTGTTTAATATATATTTAATAATTTTTAAATATAAAATAAATTGTAAAGATAAAATTGTAATTTATTAATATAATCAAAGTAGTGCACATTACCTTTTCTTATACACACCTCCCATAACTTCACAGGTTTTCAATCCTAATCCCAAAATTAATCGTTCTCATAATCATTTTAGACTGGACGAGACGGCTACATGCACTTAAGAGTGGGGTGTTTTGCCATCTTTTGAGACATTTCTCTATCCCTACCCCATAACTGACCAAAGTTTTTAATTCTAATCGCCACATCTTTTCAACCACTCTAATAATCATTCTAAATCAGACCAGCACATACCAGCGGGATGTTTTGCCATTTTTAGAGGTGGGCGAGGGACGGCAGAGGGGACAGCGGTAAAGAGAGAAAGAGAAAAAAGGGAGAAAGGAGAAAAAAAAAAATTAATTTAATTTTTTTTTATTTTGGGTTTTGAGTTGGGTTCAGGTTAAACCCGAATCTAACCTAAATATGTCTGAATTTTGACAAAATTCAACCTGAATATGAACCTAATTTGTGAATTTTAAACCCTAATATTAAAATTTTTGGATTGAAGCTGAGTTAGTTCACCCAAATTACACCGTACCAGTCAGTGGTATATATTCAAATAAAAATGTAGTATCTGTTGTCGTCCACAGCAGTTTTAAAAGAATTGAATATGACCTATCAAATCCATCATGCATCATCGCAAACGTCATTAAAAGAAAAAAAAAAAAAAAAAGTTTTGATACAAGTAAATAAGTGTTATATATTCTTGTAGACTCTATTCGTCATTTTGGTGCGCCCTGCATAATTGGTGGCTCCATCGGGGAGTCGGTTATTATGATTTAATTATATTTTTTCAACCTCTCAATTGTAAAAGATGGAAATTTAAATTCTCATACATAAGTAAGTGTATGAGTTACTTCTGAAACTTTTTTCTATTTACAGCAAGAATAAAAAATAAAAGTCGTTGTCATTACTAAGTTCATTAATAAGGTGCTTTTGGGCATTATGATTGAACTAACTAGATGTGAAATAAAAAAATGAAAAAGAAAAAAGTTTGTGTGTGTGTGTGTGTGTGTGAGAGGGGGGGTGGGGGAAGAGGGAAAGGAGTTGTTGATGATGCTTTCCCCTAGGTAAAAGTTCTAGAATCAGAATAGTCGATGGGTACCTAACATAATCAATTGCTATCAAGAATGCAAAACGTCCTGTGGGACTGCTTTATTGATTTAATTCTATACTTCAATGATAATGACACCGAGAACTCAGTGTGTGGTTTCAGCTTATGCTTCAACGTTGTTAATGCTATATGATAGTTAGATAGTTCGTAACTGTTTACCTAAAATAATACGAAGTCAATGGTTTGCTTGTCGAAACCATTGAACTGGGATGGGGATACTTTTTATTAAATTAAAAGTTTTTAAAATTCACATGCTTTTGCATAAACTATCACTCATGTATTGATAATTCCAAACAGTTTAAATAAACAATTTTCCTTTTTTTTGGATTCCTTCTCCAGAAGGAATCTGGTTTATAATATCGGTTGCTTCTTGAAAAGAAATTAAGAACATTATGCCAAGGATCCTTAAAGTGGAATTTGTTTAATTGTCAAGATTGTAGTTTTTTTTTTTTTTTTTTCCTTCCAAAACTCATTAATTAACAAGATTGTTTATTGTCAAAGTACCATGAAATTATAAAAGCAATTTTAACTTTGCACATAAATTATACTTATTTTAATACCAAAAAAAAAAAAAAAAAACGTAAATAAATGATAGTAGAAGAAATTAAGTGATTCCAAATCAAACCAAGATATGCCCAGATCATTTTCTTCCACTTTGTTGGATATATATATTGTCAGATCAAGGTGATTTTTACTGCAACTTGGATGGTCAACACAAACTCTTAATGAATGAGACTGGTGCCAAAGCGACCTTTCCCAATAATGTTGAAGGATCTTCTCAAGACTTGTTCTTGTGAGCAACTGAAACACTTTCCAGAAACCAACATATATATATATATATATATATATATATATCCATATAATTTTCTTTTGATTTTCCTCTTTCCTTTTTTTTATTAATAAAGAAAAAAAAAAAGGTGATGGTGACTACCATTTAAAGAAGGAAAATAATTATCACTCTAAAAACGAAAGGCCGAAAATGAAATTGAAGCATCCGGTCAAAGTGGGATCCGTGTTGATAATTTCACTGTTTGAAACGTCGGCAATGCTAAATGCTTCGGTATCTATTCCGTCTTTCGTTTTCAGAGGTGTATCATTACTCTTTAAAAAATGACCAACAAGTTATCTTTCTATACTTTAAAGAGGTCACTTGTTGACAAATTATTATTATTATTTTTACTTTTTCTTTTTTTGTATGTCCAAAAGGACTTTTTAGAGTTGACTTGCTTGCGGTATTATTCCCATATGAGGAATAGCTTGAGGGTTCAAGTTTTTTTTGAGACTAAATGAGTGAGTAATTTTGCTAAGACTGTATGTTTTTATCTCCAATATAAAAATAAAATAAAAATAATAAACATGGGTTATCTAAAGGGATACCAATGTCTTTAACAAATGTATATTATATATATAGTCAATTAATATACATTTAAATCAATTATGGGGTCTAAACTGAATTGAAAACATACCTAAGCCACATGTATTGGTCTCATCTAACAGAGATATAAGGAGGTAAAAACTGAAAACATATATAGCTCTCCTTTGTATTGAGTAATTCATACCTAAAAATGCAGAAATTCATATCTTATACACTTCAATGTGAAATTGGAGAATATATACACTGCCAAAATTTAAAATGTATAGAGTAATTGTTGGTCTGTTGCTTGACCTTAATTATAGCTGGAATCAATTATATATATATAAAGTACACAACCCATTTGGTAGTATCCACATTTTCAAAGGAGTTCCACTTGAAATTATGGGATAGCTTTTGTACTAAGATTAGACATGATGACAAGAAGATGAGATAACATTGCATTAAAGCTAGCTGGTAGTTGTTGCAATTAACACACAAAAAGCAGAAGTGGGTGATGAAATGAAATAAAGAAAGCAAAACCTATTTTTCATTCACAACTATCTATGGCAATTAGTACCCGGGTCAACCTCACAAACACACCCACTTTAAGAGACTTGACGGAAACCTCAGTTTTTCCTTAAATGGGAAATTCTTCTACCCACATGATCACTCAACTACTGGCTTTGCATTTTTCTCAAAGAAACTCAATCTATTCTCACCCAACTTTGTCTTGTAAGCAGAGCTTTTGTATTCACTCCATGTGAATTCCTTGTACATGCTCTCTTCTCCTTCTTTCATCAACGATGATAAAGGCGCTATCTTTTCGGTCAAAGGTGGCCCACCAAAGTAGATCATTGACACCCTTGATTTTAAACGGGCAGCCAATACTCTGTGTCTTACACTCCTGAACCTCCCACCAGTCATCACCTGCACCAAATTAAATCCACACCCAATTCAAAAAATGATGAGAAATTGATGAGAGAGAAAACGGGCCCTCTCCTATGGAGATATTTTATAATCCCTCGTTCCAAAAAGAAAGTAAAAAAAATTCATTGGGAGTCACAATATTTTCCTTAAAAAAGACTTTCTTTTTAGTACTGAGAAAGTAATACCTTAAATCTCCATTACGTGAAAGGGTCGATTGAAAAAAGAAAACTATAAATTAAGTTATAATACCCATTAAAAGGAAGAGAAAACAGAATTAAACCCAGGTATACGTTAAGAAAAACACATCAATATATTTACTATTGTTTAAGAAACTAAAAAATAAAATAAAAATTAAAAGTAGGCTGAGAGAGATGTATTGGACCTGCAAGGAATCACCAACATTGATGAAAAAGGAGTACTGATCAGGTGGGACTGAGACCCATGTCCCATCTGCGAGAGAGATTTGCAGGCCTGATGAGTTGTTAGATCTTACCGCAGATATTATTTGTGGGTCTGTGTGCTCCCCAAACCCAATCAAATTCCGACCACTCAATGCTTGAAGCTCCGGGCATGGCGGGTAGTGGTTAAGCCTGAAACAAGAGTCACTCTTCTCATCTCTCAAAACCCTACTCAACACATTTCTTGGCTCAATCTTCAACCCATCCGCCATCAGTTCCAACACTTCACAAACCATCTTTTTCACAGCTGATACAAACTCATTCACAGCACTCCTACACCATAAACACAAAAATGGTCGGTCAGTACATTCTTTTTCACCTTTTAACGTCTTGCACGGGTTTTGTGAATTAGTCAGGTAAACCTACGACACCCAAGAAGGAAAAACAAAAAGAAAAAAAAAAAGAAAAAAGAATGCCTTTATATCATATCGATCTTACCAGAAAATTTCTGGGTTATCTGGGAAAATGGAGAGATTCTGGGAAATGAATTCAGGATTGGTGGTGAAAAGGAGGTATTCGATCCAACCCACATCGCCGTATTGGCCAATTTTTTTGTGTCCATAACCAAAAGGGTTAGCAGGGCCACCCTTGTCCTTCACAGACTGTGGTAAGTTGAAGAACTTGACGGCTTCGGCTTCTAATCTGGTCATGAGGTCGACTGGGACGCCATGGTTGACCACCTTGAAGAAGCCAAACTCTTGACAGGCCTCGACTACGAGTGTCTTTGCTTCAGGGTTTGAGAGGTCTATTACTGGAATTCCAGTGAAAAAACTAGCAGTGGACTTGCATGTTTTGATCTGAGAGATATCATCTCGCATTGGCTGAGACAAAACCGCCATGTTTGTTGCACACACAGAGATTACACAGAGAGAGAGAGAGAGAGAAGGGGGGGGGGGGGGGGGGGGGAGTTTGCTGAGATTGTTGGGTGTTGATCGAGATTAAATAGGAAAATGGTAATGCATGAAAGGGTGGAGCTGGCAAGAGGCGTTACTGACACTAACTTAAAAGGCGGCCATAACTTAAAAAAAGGGCAACCACTTCGGATATGTCCGGTCGTTGGCTAGCTAGATTTTGGTGCTTTGTAAGCTCAAGTTTAGGTTTTGTTTCTGTTAGGTATTTTTTGTGGTTAATTTTCGCTATTACTGTAGTTGTGACGATCTTGTGGGCGGATGTGCTGTGGGCGAGTGCGAGAGACACTATCAGGCTACTACACTGGCGAACTACGGGTGTACAGTCCCACATCGCCTGGGTAGAGGAAAGATGAAGTGCTTATATGTAAGTCTGTCACCTCCAATTAGTATGAGGCCTTTTGGATAAAGTTCAAGAACAAAATCGTGCGGACTCAGATCCAAAGCGAACAATATCATACCTCAACTTCGTGCCTTTCCGAATATCCTGCTAATCAAAAACAAAAAAATAAAAGAAGGCCATCTAGCTAGCCTTTTGTATGTGCTTGGAAAGTTATGCTAGTAGGAAAAATAGCTTTTGACTTTTTCCAACTAAGGAAATTAAAACAGATATTTAGATATGGCTTAAGGATTCACCCATCTCAAGGGGAAAATGGTGAAAAAGAAACGCAATTCTCTTAAATAGTTTATATATATATATATATTCTTCGAATCTGCTGATTTGTTGGAAAACAATTTTCTGCTTTCAAAGAAATAAAAATTTAAAAAAATTATATAAAACTTTGCAAAAATTGTATAAAACTTTGGGTGTTTTAGTTTTTGAAAATTATTTTTAAAAAAATCAATTATAGCAAGGCCTGATTTTAAAAAACTGTCTTTTATGATTATCAAAAAATAATTTTTTATTTTTTGAGTTCTTGAGAATTATTTTTTTTAGTGATAAACCATGTAGACTCTTGACAAGTGTGTTTAGAAGTCTGACCCAAACAAGCTTGAAGTTTTTAAGAAAAAAAAAGAAGTTAAACAGCTCGGGATACTTTAATGGAAACAAACCCAAAAACAATAGTTGAGTGAATGGATCTTGTTTGTGTTAATTGAACTAAGCGACACCCTTACTTTAAATAAAATTAAGCATTGTTATCTTTCCTTCATTACACACAATGTTAATACAATTAAGCATTATTATCTCTCCTTCATTACACAGTATTTTAATCTTAGAAGCTTTGCGGTTGTATTATCTTATCACCTCACATCTTTGAGATTCTGAGTTCGAATCCTTTTGGATTACTCCTAATTTTTTTTTTTTAATAATTATTGGGTGCATATGAAGTAGGGAATTACATTAATTAAATGATAGATTATGAAATATTTAAGAAGCCAAACACCACCCTCTTGCCTCAAGAGAAAAGTTCTCGAATTTGTGATTTTAATAATACTACCATGCCATCTCGGATATGAAAACTAAAGGGATGGTTATAAATAGATCAAGAGCCCTTCTATGCAAACAACATCAAGAGAAAAAGGAAAAAATGGAAGTTTTATTTGCACTCATATGTGTGGTATATGTTATTCCTGTACGTGTGAATGGTACAACTGTAGTATGGTTGAAATATATTATGCTTCTGTCAATCGTTTATACTATGTGTTTTTTTGTTTCTATCAGTACAAAGCGTGTTTAGTATTGTTTGTTACGATTTAAGTAGAACTGAAATACTTTAAAAAAAAAGGCCAAAACTGAAAGCATGCTTTTGCACTGTAGCAAAAGCACTGTTCGGGAAGGGAATAAATGCAATTTCTGGAAGATTTCAATAAAGTTTTATGCAAATTAACCGTCAGTTTACTAATAAGATGCCAATAAATATTTCACAAAATTAAGTTATTATTATTATTTTTTACATTTTTTCAATGGGACTAGTCTTTTTTAATACAGTATGTGAATGGATATATCTGTTGGAAAACCAAATAAATGTTTATAATTTTCTTTTTCTTTGTTTCTGATAACCTCCCTTATTATATCCTTGCACAAACGTTGGTCTTCGAAGCAAAATCGTAAAGGCTCGGGTTTCTTCTTTTTCAATGTGCGGTATTTACTTAGAACATTAAAAGTACTATTTTTTATTTTCAACATGAAAATTGGCACAAAATCATGACCATTTGTCAAAATCAAGGGGAGAAAACCATAAGTTTTCATTTCAAACAAAATGAAAATTGCTTCCACCAAGTCTTAGAACCAATTTGAAATTGTTGTTGAACCAATTTAAAGTACTTTTATTTCTTTTCTTTTTTTAAAAAAAAATGACTTTATAAGTGTTTGGTAAAAAAACACTTTTAAATGGTATTGATTTTTAGCTCAATAGAGTTTTTGACCTTTAATTTACGAGCACAAATTTAATATTTAGATAATTATTATTTTTTAATTTACAGTCCTATTAACCTATATAATAAACTAAATTAAAGAACATTATTGCAAAATTAGCAATAAAAGGATTATAAACAATATTATTACCTAACAATACTTTATTTATTAAAAGTGTTTTACTTAATCCATCACTTGCATGGTATGGTCACTCTACCGATAAAAACATTATTATTTTTCATTAACTGTTAACCCAAATCAGCATTATTAGAGCAATTGAGAGTATGTAACTGAGGTTCCATTTAATCCAACAAAAAAATATATATATTTTTTTATTTTTTATCAAAGGCTATATAACTCGGTGATACTTTTTCGCCTTCCAAATTAAAAGGTGAAGGGTTCAAGTTTCGGACAAAATTGGTTGATAACCCCTTTTCTTGATATACGGATTTTTAGCAAAGTCAGTAATACTTTCTCACATTTTAAAGTAGAGACAATCGGGTGTAAGGACATACCTAGAAACTAATGTGAGGAGGCAATAATGATTTTTTAAATAATTTTAGGGAGACAAAACCACAAAAATAGTGAGGCATAATAGTAAAAAAAAAAAAAAAAAATTTAGGGAAGCAATTGTTCCCGAGTACATAGCATTGGTGTGTATGAGTTTTTTTTTTTTAATAAAATTGTATCTTAACTAACAGAAAAATTCATTTTTAAGGTTTTAGATATAAACTAGCTAGTAGAATTCATTTAAGTCGAGTAAACTTTTTGATATTATTAAGAATTAGTAATCTTATAAAAATATTAAGAATCAATATTCCTTCTTTAAAAATGTATACCCTGTTAGAATAACAATCCAGCACACATTAATATAGTATAAGAAGAACATGGATGAATCATCTAAACTATTCTAAAGTTTAAAAGAAAACATCAAGAAGACTTCAGATAATCTAAGTTAATCTTCTAGAATATTATCTACACAATTGTTAAGTTTTTAGTGATTGTTGAACTTTTATCCAAGGCTAAGGGTTTTTTTATTTTTTATTTTAAAAAAAAAATCTAATTTAACACTTAATTTTAAATGGTGCAAGTGTTTATTTAATTAATTATGTTTGATAACATATTTTTAATATTATTTTAAAAACAAGTGTCATTTAAAATGAGATAAAAATTTGAATGTTAATTACTTCATTTATCACTATGTTGAAGACTTAAAATTATATATATATATATAAAAATAAAAATAAAAATAAAAATTGGAAAACTATTAGTAGAGTTAGAAGTTCTAAATAACAAAGTGGTATATTTTAAATTTTACTTTTTCAATTTAGTTAAACTAAACAAAATAATTGCACATGATAATTATTGTTCAAATCCAAAATGCTCTCTAAGCTATGTTTCCATAAATATGATCATCTTTTGCTGTTAGGTGGGTTTTTGGATTATATAGATGGGAAATCCAAACAGCAAGAAAATGAACTTTCAGAAGAAGAAACTGCTTAATGGCATATATTGAGATATCAAGAAAAACTAGGCATCAGTTTTTGAATATTTTCTTTTACTTCGTCAAAAGAATAAAAAATTTAAATGACATTGTTGTTTGATATGTACAGGATTCATACGGGAAAAGGAGGTTGTTCTTGTGACATTTATAGAATCATTCCAGTCCGACTCCACCGTAACTTTACTTTTACTTTTTTTTCGGTAATTTATTTGTTTAACTTTTAAATATTATAATATAGTAAAAAATCTAAGTAGCTGAGAAACGATAATGGCTGCCAATTATTGAGTGAAGGAATTATTTAATTTAAAAATATATATTTTGATATTTTGGAATAAAAATTTGGAGGATATTTTGGACCTAAACGATAATTATTAATGCATATGCAATTATTTTGCTTAATTCAACCAAAGTGCAAAATAAATTTTGTTATTTAGTATTCCTAACTTTACTTAAGTATAGTCTCCCTAAAAAAAAATCTCATATAGTCACAATATGAACGTGGCGATACGATAAATTTAAGATAAAAAATAGAAGAATGCTTAATGTTTCATATCATAATAAATGAAATCATCAATTTAGAACTTAGAGTAAGATGCTTGTTGTTTTTATTTACATATTTTATATTATTTTTTACTTATTTCATAATATATTTTAAAATTGAATTGCAATCACATTTTTTATTTTGGCAGTGATCCAAGGGGTTGGGGCATCTACTTTAGGGTAATGGAGTGCTGTCAATATATGGTCCTGAATTTGTTCTCCATGCCAAATAATGGTAAGATAGGGACAGTGAAAGACTGAAAGGGCACTTTTAACGGCCTACACAAACTATATATGTAAAACTGGTTTGCCCTGAAGCAGGTCTGTGTCTGTGTGTACCATCAGTTCGGACATTGTAAGGACTTGGGACCCTTCCTGAGCATGAGAATCAAAACTTCAAGACAACATAGAAGAATCAAAATCAATCATGTTGCCTTTCCATATTCATTATTGAAGAAGGAAAATAGTTTTTGGCTTTGAGACGTGTAGGGTTTCTTTCCGTTGGTATTATTTGTTTCCACTCTGTTTGAGTTTGCTATCCAGATTACTAACAAAATGCCTCTAAA